GACCTTTGGGACCTGAACGAAGCCAAGGTCGTGTGCCGACAGCTGGGGTGCGGTCGGGCCATTGCTGCCCCTGGAAAGGCCCACTTTGGTCTGGGCTCTGGAGATATCCTTCTGGACAACCTCTAGTGCTCAGGGAATGAGACCCACCTTGGCCAATGCCATAGCTCCAGCTGGTCAGACCACAATTGTGGCCACCATGAGGACGCAGGCGTCATCTGCTCAGATAGCCTCTCCCTCTATGGCAGGACCTTTCCGCCAGTGGCTTCTTAGTGATGGATGGAGGGTGTGCACAGAGCAGGACCAGGGAAGCTAAGAATAGTGGCCCAACAGATGAATGTCCCTCAGCCAGGTTGACAGAGAATGCTGAAAGCCTGATTCCCTTCTAAAGACACACACCAGGGCCACACAATTGGCAGGTTGTGTTCTCTTCAACCTCACCCAGGTCTGCCGCTGCTTTTCCAGAGTCAAACTATGCCCTTGTTTCTGCCTGTGTGACACAAAACCCCCTGCTTGAGACCTGCCCACACTAGGAAACCCCCACTTCTTTGTGTTCTTAGATTTAGATTTCCTAAGTATACCTTTCTTCATGCATGCAGATGCTGGGGGCTGGGTTCCAGATGTGACTCCTACACCCTCAGGTAGGTTGGACTCTGTGAATTTCCAACATCTCTGCAAAGTAAATAGGAAGTCTAACCTCTCTCCTGATCTAGACACTGGTGGGTGGTGACCTAGACACTAGAATCACCCAGGGCGCTTTTAAAATTCCCAATGTGCAGGCTACACCCCAGACCAGTCACATGAGAGTCTCTAGGATCACACACCCAGTCATCATTTATACTTAAAACTTCCCATGTGATTCCAGCATGCAGCCAGGTTGAGAACCAATGGCTTGGACAATGAGCTAAGAGCTACATTTCCCAAATGAAATGACATGCAAAACTCTCCTCTCTGGACATCAGGGCAAGGACGGGCAGAAGGGGAAATGGAGGGAGGAGATTCCATCATGGTATCTGAGAAGAAGACTGATAGGGAGAAGAGAAAAGGTGCAAAGGTTTGCCTCCCGGGGACATGCGTTAGAAAACAAAAGCACGCAGGAAAACAAAGATGCACTGAAAGCCAAATTCTCCTCCGGTGGGTCAAGAGCAGACTGCTGGTGAGAAGTGAAACCACCTGGGGCTCCCCCTGTGGGCCTCCTGGCTTAGCCAACACAGCAGGAGTAGAGAATGGGTCGACCTTCTTCTGGTAACCTACTCAAAGTCGATGTGCATCAGGGACCTCCCAGCCTGAAGAGTTCAGCTATATCAGAGCATGTGTGGTCCTGCCTCCGGCAGCCTCCTGCCTCTCTAGGACAGGTTCTCAGCTGCCCGCTACCCTGCCAATGGTGCCCTCGGCTTCCAAACCCAGCCTTCTCCCCAACCATGCTGGATGACTGCTGCCACCCTCTGCCCTCAGTGGGTGCCTGGATGTGGGGAAGGTCAAGGTCAGGGGTGCACCTTGCAGTGTTCTGGGGCCGAGCAATGTGGGGAGCAACTGTCCCTTTCTTGAGCTGGCATCACCATGATGCATTTGGAATGACATTTGGTGGGGACCCCTTACCTACTCTAATCCAGGTCTCAAAGGCATCCCAGTGGAGGTCACCATCCCTTGTAGGCTGCCCATCTGGCATGGCTTGCTGAGGTGAACCCATGAGAAAGGGAGATTAAAGTCTCTACCACTTCCCGAGGCCCCACATTTTCATTTTGCACTGGGACTCACACATTAGGCAGCAGCCCTAGAGGTGAGGCAAAGCCCACAGAACCCTTTCTCAGGAACTGAAAAGCAGCTAAACTCCCTTTGATTCCCTCTGGTCTTTCCTCTTCTTCCTCAGTGAGGGATCTCCCCTAGCCTGGGGCCAAGAGGGAGGGCATGGCTTTCAGATCATCAGATAGCTCTGTGCCCAAGTCTTCTTGAAGCCTGGGGTTTCAAATGTCAGAAGGCGTTTTTTCTCTCTCTCTCTCTGCCATAACATCCCTTCCCCAAGGCAGAGATGCATAGCTGACTAGAAAAGGGAAGGGGTCATGAATAAAAGAAATTATGGGGGAAATGGAACCATTTATGTCTGAATAGTGTTCAACTGGAAGCAAACCTCTTCTTTTTTTTTNCGAGAATGTGGCTTAGTCCATCTGTAGTCCATCTTAGTACAGTCCTGTAGAGAGCACCCACAACAGGCGCCAGTCCCTCATCCCCTGCCATGTGTAGAAGTTTAGGAAAGTTCACGTCCCAGGCGTTTCAACGTCAGTCTGACCTTTCCCCAGTAATTATAACCTACAAATGCACTCAACGATAGGGCTGGTGCTTCACTACTTCCCGTCATCCATTGCAGGAAAGACCAGGAACCTGTGGGATTCTGGGAGGATTACAAGTTGGTCAGGGGGGAACAGGAAGAAGAAAATTAAGTAACTTAATCATTTAGAGACAAGGTCAATAAAGCACGTCGTATATTCAAATTTCCTCTAAAATAATTTGATGATCCTGTTCTCTGCTTTTTTGTGTGTGGCATACTGCTTTAAATGTGTGTGTGTGTGTGTGTGTGTGTGTGTGTGTGTGTGTCTATTTATATTAATAGAGCAACTAATAAGGAAGAATTAGATCTCACTGTTATCTTGTTTAACCCTTACAAATCTAAAAATCTGTAAGTTCCAGTCTCACTTGGTAGGTATTGAATTAAAAGAAACATCGTCTACCCAGAAAAAGTGATGAAAGTACTTAAAAGGAAGTCTCAGTCATAACCTCCCAAAACAGTCCACAATGTTCCCTTTCCCCATGTCTCCAATTCATCAGACCACAAAATTGTTCTAGAGCTGCATGTTCCCCAAGCCCCCTCAAATTTTCCTCTTACCCAGGCATGTTACAGCCTCTGTCTCTTCATCTCTCCTTCCCAATCTTCATGTAGATCTACTCTGCCCTTCTCCCAGCAAGGAAGAGTCCTCCCACCTCAGAAAGAGGGAAGAGATAGTAAGCAGACAGGACAAATGTAGTATTTTTTTAAATCAAATAGTAGAGGGAAAAGGAAAGGCAGGGAACTCTCACACATTAATAATGATTCGTCAGAATTAGATTGAATGGACTCTCATTCCCAGGAGATGGTTAAGCTAAAGCTCTATCCACAGAGTCCTATGTGTACCCATCCAGGCAGGTGCTCCCTGGGGTCACACAAGTGACATCATGTGGACACACCTTGACATTCTTTTCCCTGTTGTTTCAGGAGGAAGTAACGCTTGTGGGGGGATCGTCTCTAGCCCCTCTGGTGCATTTTCCAGTCCACGGTATCCAGAAAACTACCCAACAGACATCCAGTGTGTTTGGGAGATCCACGTGAATAAAAAATTCCGCATAAAACTCATGATTCCAAGTTTGAAGTAAGACAACAACTTCTTAGGGGAAGATTTTTATCTAAATAAGAATGTTCGTTTGTGAAATCATAATAAAGATATTTCTTTTAATGAGAGACCCTTAGGAGTGAAACCAGAAAAACACAAAATTCTTTCTCAGTTGAAGCTCAGGTTAATTTTGTAGTGCTATCCAACGAGTTACTTCAAGCTTGAAAAATTCAATAAGTGATTTATTAACATATTTGTTTTAATCATATTTTGATAGTTTTTCTTTTAATTTTTTTTTTCTAAAAATACTGCACAAGTCCTCCTTACCAGCTTCGCCCTTGTTGTACACTGGCACCAACATTTATCCTTTGAGACTTCCTTTTTCCTTTATCTAAATTTTTAACAAACAGTAAGAGGCTTCCCACATACACACATTAGCCAACTACTCAAGCCATCGGCCCTGCATCTTCTAAATGTTGCCACCAAGTAAAAGAAGGTAGCGGAGTCATTGTCTCATCTCTAACATGAACAGAATACATTTTCCAAAGTCACAGCCATTTTTTTATCTCCATGACATAAGAGTTGACATATTTTTAGTGTTGGCTGTGTGCCCAGGCTCTCTATAGTATGTACTTTGTCACCTTGGTTATATTCCAGCATCATTATAGCCCTAAAATAGATGCCCTGGTTGCCCCCATTAGAGATGAGGAAACTGAGGCTCAGGAAGGTTAACTAACTTGCCAGATCTGTCTGATGTCAAAGCCCCATCTATTCACCATTTCATGATTCTGTAGGCAGAGTGTGCACAAGGCTCTTCTTATAATTGACACACATCATGCTACAAACACAGCAATACTGTGAAATGCTGTGATAATCCACTGTTAGCATGCTCAGAATTGTTGCTCAGTCTATGGAGTCAGACACGCCCTATGCCAAAGAATATCCTAAAACCCTAAGAACATGGATAGCCTACAAGGAAGTGAAAACCTTGAATCCACAACTCCAAAGTCTATCATGCTATCAGTTGTCTATTCCTTCAAAGATCACCCCCCAGAAACATTCCCTGTGAATAATCACCAAAATACAAACACTCTTCAAGATGCTGACATTATTTTTATTTTAAAATCATATTTTTTTCTCTCCAANCCACTCAGGCTGGTTGGAGCACAACTGCGGCCACCACGAGGATGCCGGTGTCACCTGCTCAGGTATCCTCTCCCCCTCAGGCAATAATCTCAGATGTTGTAGATGAAGACATTTTGAAACTATGCACCCTAGATGAAATTCTCATCCATCCATCCATCCATCCACCCATCCGCCCACATGCTCATTCTTTCATCAAAGAGTCCTCAAGCTTCTATTCTGTAGCAGGCCCTGGGCTCAGACACATGTCCTGCCATGGGCAGCTCCAGGTGGCACATGGGAGGTCTCGAATGTTAACATGCACCAGCACCACCTGGGGCATTGCAGTGAGAAGCCAGAGCCCCACTCCAAAGATTACGGCTAACTGGGTGCTCTGGAGCCTGCAGTTTAACAAGTGTTCCAGGGGGTTCAGCATTAGAGTGCCATTGGTTGCCATGAAGCAGAACCAACCCGGCTGCTGGGCCAAGGTCCTTGCCAGAGGAGGGCTGGACTTGCCCAGGGCAGTCCTGGTGCTCTGGTCCCAAGCCCAGACAGACCATGGTCCTCTCCCCTTGATCCCCCACCCACGCCCCTGTTACTCCACTTCGTCCACACTTTGGATTCACTAAAGAGAGTGACCTATCACCTTTCTTTATGCTTCCAGATGCAGAAGAAGACCTGCCTTCTCCCACACCTCCAGGTATGTTCATATTTTTTTCTAGTACAAGCAAAACAATAATAATAATAATAATAATAATATCAAACACTTATAAATGCTGACAACCAAACACTGTTCTGAGCTCTTCTTTACATAAATAAGTCATTTAATCGCACAATAACCCTTAAGGTAAATACTTTCATTATTCCCATTTCCCAGATAGGTAAATTGAGACATAGAAAGTTAGTAATGTACCCTGGACTAGCCAGTGGATTTGAACCTAAGCAATTTTGGCCAACAATTTCATTTACTACACCTGTTCTTTGGCCCCAGATGCACAAAGACCAAGCAAAGCTAGTGCAGATATGGGGGGACATTTTGCTCAGATTATTGGTAATCCTCAGGACAATCATGCAAAAAGGTATTCTATGTTATATTTTACAGAAGAGAAATTTGAGATGCAGAAAGGTTAAGTGACTTTCCTGAGGTCACTCAGGAAGTTAATGGTAGAGCCTAGTTTTCATACTGATCAAATCTGGCCCCTAAGTACATGCTCTTGAGGAGCTTATTACTTTTGCCTGTTGTCAGAGATCTTATAACCTAACAACTGAGTGATATTCATCTGTAAAAGAAACCAAAGGTTAGAAGAATCAGACTAACACATGTGATATACATTCTGACATGAGCCTGGAGGTGAATGGAAAGGCATTTCATTTCATTGCAACATACATTTCTGAGCACCTGCACAGCAGCAGGCATGATGCTAGGGTTCAGTGTGTCAGTTTATTTAATCCTCACAGCTGAGGAGTAGGGAGATCAAGATGCCTGCTCAGGATAACTCAACTAGAAAGTGGCAGATTTGGATTTTCAAGCCTCATCTCTTGCTCTTTGAATGCACCTGGCTGTCCTCACGGAGCCTCAGAGCACACAGGTCACAAGGCATTGGCAGAATCATCTCTCTGACACTTGTCTATAGAAAACCTTGCTGTGTTCTGGGCATTTCTGGGGATGACCATCTTTATGTGTTGGAGTTATGAGTGAGAGGGGTAAGGCTGTCAAAAATTAAAGGGCCATGGTCAGGGTCAAGGGCAGTGGCAATTCAACTGAACATTTATCTGTAGTTTCCTCATTTTATATAACTCACCTAAGTTGAAAATTACATGGATGACTGGGAAATGAANGTGTCACCTGCTCAGGTATCCTCTCCTTTTTCAGGTGGTCACTGTTAGTCCCAAAGTGCTTCAAGAACACCATGCTAGAATTCAGAGTCAGCCAGAGACAAGACAGGATCCTCAAACATGTAGCATCTGATCTTTGCTTTATCCCTCTACCTTGGTAAAATGTATACGATTTTAACTGTTAGCCTCTCAGAATAAAACCTCCGAATTTTCTAATTTGGTAGTAAGAATTACCACAGGTATGTGTGCTTTGCTGAATACAGACATGGGCAAAGAACATGTTTCATTATGGGATTTTTAAGGAGCTTATCAAAAGGTCTTCCATTCAAAGGGGCAGCCAATGTAGTAAATGTTAGGGAAGATTTCAGAGCTGGAAAGACCCCAGTCTGGATCTCAGAGCCAGTGTTGATGCTCAGGCTGCATTTGGGCAACTCAAACTCCCAGAGCCTCAGTTTCTTCATCTGTAAAATGAAGGGGCTATTTGCTTTCTTGCAGGATTGCTGAAGGACTCAAGCTGTTTTCTATAAGGCACTAGCATAGCACCTGACCAGGGGCTGTATATCTGACAATTTTTACTACCATTTTCCTCACTCAACCACAACACCAAGGGAATCAGTGAACTAAAATGGCTAATTTTAATTGCCTTGTGACAATTTTTAAAACTACTTTGGACTCACATGCAAACAATTAGCTAGGAGTAGGTTAGTCACCACTGGAATGTCTATTAATAACCCTTCCTGATAGCGAGATGCCTTTCGGTAAATAGCCGTAATGTGATTTGAAAGAGTGATCAACTGTAATTTGAAGTGGCCCTTGTCACGTAGAGTTGCCCGTGTGAGAAGCCGCTCCATTGTATGTCAGTCCCTGATCCTGGAGGCACATGTTTATAAGGATGGTCTTGCTTGTTGGGCATTCATTTGTCCATCTGTTTGCTTTGTGGAGTCATGTTTTATGGAGCACGTTTATCCTAGTCACAGCCTCATGGGCCACATGTTATTCCCAAGTTTCAATGTTCTAGAGGATGATTGTGTAAATCTGAGGTACCGCCAAGCAGTCCCCAAAGTGACACATCTGCTACCAAATCAGCAGTTTACATCACATCATCCCTAGTGTGTACTTCACATCTGGCCGTTTTCTTGTACTGCCCATAGCAGACCACTGACCAGATAGAAGCTTTTAGGTCCAAGGATAAACCTGGTTCTGCCGGTACTATGTCATTTAAAGGGACTAACTTTTCCTGTATCAGATTAATAAACACTTCTAAGGGTGTAATTGAAATCTTTGTCCTCAGTTATGAAAAAAGTCAGGATTTCTGGAAAATACTGACATATTTATTCTTTATATGAACAGATGCTGAAGAATCACTTATTAACAGTCCAGGTAAGTCAGACTCTTTTTGATGGGACTTAAATAGCAGCTGTCTTGACCTTTCCTTGGGCTATTTCTTCTTCCAGCTCTAAGTTCCCTCTCCATGTAAACTGCAGCAATTTTCACACCATTGAGNGCGCCTTGTACTTCCTATTTCTTTCTCCAACCATCGCCCATTTTTAAAGGAATTCACCCTATTTTAATACATATTTACATGCATATGTATTCATATACACATACATATACATGAGTACATTTTTAAGGAAAATATTACTTTTCCTAATAATATTTAACCCTGGTTTCATCTTTCCACATTGGGTAGCATCCGGGCCATTCTCTCTTCCTGATATTGTCACACAGTCTGTACCAGACCCCTGCCACTGCTTTCTGTCTGTGATCATTGGCCACCGCAGTCAAAGATTTGAATGGTAAAATGCTGCCTTCAAATATAAAATGGGATGGCAGTGGAATGAGGGATGGACTCAATGTATTATGAGCAAAGTGTATTTATCATGCATTCATTTATTCCACACATATTTTCTTATTGAAAGCAATGTGGGAAGATTTGGAACCATATATTTCAAGTCTATTAAACTTACAATTGTAATGTTTGGGAACAGAGCACCATTTTCTCACTTCTGGAAAATAGCTGTAATGACCCACATCCTCTGCAGTCAATCTCAAGCTTATTATTCCAGCATAAATTTCCTACTATAATTTCAGAGTGTACAAATTAAGGAGCTGTTTGGTGTGTTGCCTAAAACTAGATCTTAGTTGCTGGTTTGGAGTTTTGATGTTTAGGAGTCTGGATTTATTGATTTTTGCTTTTTTAAGACATAAAGTTAGCTATGATTTGCTCCAGTGAGTCTCAGCTGGGAATGATTATACCACCCCACAGGACAAGTGGCTATGTGTGGAGGCCTTTTTTATTATCACCATAGGGACAGGGTGCCACAGTCATCTGGTGGGTGGGGGCCGGGGATGCTGCTAAGTCCCCCACAACTCTCAAGGAGCCCCACAGCAAAGAATTACCCAGCCCCAAAGGTCAATGATGCTGAGACAGGAACCCTAACTGGCACTGGAGCTTGCTTCATTTTTCTCAACTTCAACTCCTATGGAGGTTTGCTTCACTCTCAATTTGTAAAAATTATATCCATAATTAAAGTATGCTATTTCATTCTTGCTAAGAGAAGTATGCTTTATTCCCTAATGAAATAATTTCTCAGGTTGCAATGTCATCTGTTACTGCCACATTGTTGTCACCTTACATACAAATATTATCACTTTTTCTTAAAAAACATGAAAAATTGGTTATTTTGACGTACTTGGCTCTTACTGCATTGGAACAGGTGTGTCCTGCAATAAGCAGGTTTTCAAACTCAGTAGTTTGTGTCCAAGTGTAATTGTGTCCATTATGAATATGTTATGCAGTCAGCACTTATAATATATACGTCAAAGCCTATTGTTATTTAAATGCAAATGTACACATCTCACATTTTTATCATGTTAGGTAAATGTTGATGTTCTTTAAATGGCTGTTTACTGAGCCCACTCTCTGTTGAGCCCTGGTCTAGGAATGGGCTTATAGTACTGCACAAGACGGGCAAGATCTCTGCCCTCATGGAGTTTATGTTCTAGATGGGGAGGCAAATAGTACTCAAATAAACCAATAACTCAATCGACGATTTCAGTTCGTGATAAGTTGCTAAGTGCTACAAAGAAAAAATATACTTATATGATAATAGGATACAGAGTGATAGGGCAAAGATGGCATCAGGTAGGATGGTCAGGGACAGCTTCTCTGATCATCCAGGTTAGATGAAACATGTCATGAAAACACTTGGTTTGACCCAGGCAGTTTGGGGCATTGGAGGGAAGAGTCTTAGTCAACAGGCCCTCAGAGCTTTCACAGCTGTCACCATTTTTTTCCTGCTCTGGACCTTGTGAGAGTTTTACTCAATGAGACCCTAGTGGACACTTGCCACCTCCCCAGGGAGTAGCAGAGTTTGAATAGTCAGGGGACATTCAGATACTCAAGGTAGAGAGGAAGATGGTGGGGGAGACTGAAAGCCAGTTTGGGGATGGAGGCACTGAATTAGACCAAGTGAGACATGATGAAAGGCTGACTGACCTGGGCCTGTCCCAAGAGAAGGTCAGGGGGCAGAGCCAGTCAATATTTAAGGGGTGGAGCCGCTAGTGGGGTGTGTGGTTAGAAGGAGGTGGCAGCAATGATTGCAGTTTCTGGCTGGATGCAATACATTAAAAAAATGATTTTATTTAAGACGTTTCTGCAGATTTCCTTGGGGAGATTAACTCTGCATTACCTCCTCAGATTAGAGGACATCTATGGGTGCCCTTACGACTTCATCGAAGTGTTTGATGGACGGCAAGTTGCCTCACCCTCCATGGGCAGATTTTGTGCTGGGTCGGAGCTCATGTTTCTCTCTTCTTCGAACATCATAACCGTAGTGTTCAGGAGTGACGCCATGGTCACCAACACAGGGTTTTATACTCTGTACAATGCCATTCAGCAAGACGGAAGCGAGAGTGGTAGGTATCCTAGTATGTACTGGGAGGGAGGTTAGATTGCATTTGTGTCCTTCCCCTTTAAGAGAGGACATGCCTTCTAAATATGACCTGCGGAGCCCACCTTCACTAATGACATTCTGAGTGGCATCCACTCTGACACTAACAGCCCCCAGCCCACCCCTCACCCTGCTCTGCCACTCACTGTCATTTTCCTCCACCAAAATATCCTGGCTGAAGAAACATGTGGCTGAATCTCCTAACTTCCCGTGGCAGTGTGTGTAGATGGAGGACCCAAATGAGAGCCTCCCTCTTCTTCAAAGGAAGAGAAAGTGCAGTAGGCAAATTCTTCTGGGACAAAGCTATCTCAAACTGCAACTACCAGCCCGCATGTTCCCAGCTGAGTTCAATACAAAAATCACCCATGACACGTATACAGCAGGATATGGGGATATTTCAGAGCTCTCAGTGGATTATGTTTAGGGTGACCATGTAGTTTCTTCTCCAGTTGGGATACTTTTGCAAGTTTTAAAGGGTCTTTATAACAATAAACAGGCATTAGCTGATCTACAGCAGTTGTAAACCAGGACTATCCCAGGTAAATCAGGACATAGGGGCGTCCTATCGAGAGTCCAACAGCTAATATGGGAAAACGTGCTGGTCATTCTCCATCTGAAGGAAGCCCTAGAGTTTGGGGACAACACCACCACTCAGAAGCTTCTGTTTTCCTGTCACCCAGGTGTGTCCCTGAGACTGGTGAATGGCAGCCACAGATGTGAGGGCCGGGTGGAGGTCTTCTACAATGGCACCTGGGGCACGGTGTGTGATGACAACTGGGACCTGACAGACGCGAGGGTGGTGTGCCAGCAGCTCAGCTGTGGCGAGGCCGTGTCAGCCCCAGCACAGAGCTACTTTGAAGGAGGCATTGGCCCCATCATTTTGAGTGATATACAGTGTACAGGGAACGAAGCTACGGTGTGGCAGTGCACACACAACGGGTGGTTCTCCCACAACTGCGGGCACCATGAAGATGCCAGTGCCATCTGCACAGGTGAGCCCCATGACCATAGCACGCCTCAGAGAGAGCCTCACCCACCAGCAGCTTCTGGAAAGGGAGAAGCCAAAGCCAGCAGACAATTGCTCAGAAAGGAGCCGTGGGCTTCAAGCCATCTTTCCAAGTCAATTTGTTTAAGGTAGTTTTCTTTCTTCAACTGTTGTGTCTGTAAAATTTTCAAGGTCCCACCTTAAAAGTTGTGGTGATTAAGTAGAGGATTTGTGTCATCAGACATCTCATTCTTGGGTAGACATGCCATGAGGTTGGTGACAATCCACTCTCTCCTGAGTATTAATTATAGCTGGTGTCCAAAGAGTGCAGTGCATTCACATTCTTGTTTAATGTTCACAATCTCTGATAAAGTGGAGACTGTTAGCATCTCCATTTTATCCATAAGACAACAAAGGCATATCCAACATGACATACAGGCCCATACTCTGTGCGTATAGCCTCAGCTATACGCTGAGCTCAGCTCTGTAACCAAAGGTCCTTCAGCCCCATACCTGACTGAAAGTAAATAAATACCACGTTTTCAATTTGTTTTCAGTTTTAGCACTTCCAGCAACTAGATGAGCCATCTCGTGAAAAACAGTGTGCTCCCTCACCCAGTGGGCATGAACATGGGCTGCCAATCTTTAACCAACATGGATGGTTTGGGATGCTACACTCCCATCTGCCCAGACAGAATGTGTTTGATCCTTTAGAAAGTACCTGATTTTCTTTTTTGAGTCATGTGACTGTCTTAATCCATCTCTCATTCTCTTTCCTATCTTTGCGTAGGTGTTGATGGCAGTTCAAAAGCAGGACCAACAGGTATTGCTATTCCATACATTTCAACTCGTTGCCAGTCTGCTGATACATGCAAATCCTGGCTACTCTTCAATCTTGTAATTGGGGCACAGTCTGGTTAAATTTTCTGTCACTAGTTAACAAAAGCAATGCAGCTCATTAACATTGACAAAATGGTGGGGCGAAGGCGGGGGCCACAAAGGGTAGGAAGAGAGGTAGGAGGGAGGGAGGGAGGGTGCAGATTCACCAAAAATGCAATTTCTGGGCCAGCGGGATTCTGAGTCAGCGTCTGCTGTGAAGAGAGGGCTGAGGTCTTGCAATGATGGTCATGCTATGGACACTGTGGGGAGCAAGGAAGCAGAAACCCCAGGGCCATCCCTCAATGAGTTGTATCAAGCTTCACCTGTCTGCGCCCATGGTATGCAAATGTCCAAACTCTTGAATAACCATAAACATCTCTATTCCCTGGGACACAGAAATCATAGCTTTGAGTGTCAGTATTTTTGAGTATTTTAAGGGAGTATTCTGGATAACAGTCCTCACTCATGGTATCATTTTTTGCCCTGTGTACTTTCACAGACTCAACTGGTGACAGCCCCCCTACAGGTACTTCAGCTTTATTTTATTTATTTATTTATTTATTTAAAATCATCTATCTCCAGAGACCCTTAGAAATCAAGTGATTTCTTTTTTTTTTTTNGTCAATCTCAGGGCAGTGTTTGTGTTGGTGAACCCCGGAACGCAGAAAACACATGTCATGTGACTACATTGTCTGTGATCTCCTGGTGAATCTACTGAAGCAAGGGAAGGGCTGCGTCCAAGATCAGGGAGAAAAGAGAAATGAGTGTGTCCATACCACGTATTAAGACTCAAGCATAGTAACAAGGTGATTTTGTGATGCTAAGCTCCTTCCTGATTTTCTTTGGTTTTGATTTTTGCAGTTGCTATCCCTCAAGCTCCTATACCACAAGGTAAGTCCCTTTCAATGAAAGTATAACCTGTAAAGGATGGAATCACTTTGATAATTCATAAAACCAGAATAGACGTGCCTGTACTGGCTGCCATGAGGGGAAGGAATTGGTGGGATGGAGCCCTCACTGAGGTGGGAGTTGTCTACATTTGGGTTGAGCTGGCTTGCATGACAGGCAGCTGTGGAGAGCATTGATGAAGTATGACCTGGACACCCCACACCTGCCACATCCACATCCAATCCCATTTTCCGTCTCACCTGCAGTCAGCTTTAGGGTCCTGCCTACCGGTCACACACCTTTCCTCCTCCTTCATTCCCTCTCAGGGGTACAGTCACACACCAGCCAAGCCACAACGACGTCTACACCAGCAGGACCCCTTCCCATCTGTGATTCACTGTTGAGCTTGGTGGAATTCTGGATTCTACACCTGGGAAAGGTGTAGGCCCAAGAAAGCCACCCATGGGTCTTTTGTTCGCTTTTACAGGAGGAAGTAGCTCTTGTGGGGGAGTGATTTCAAGTCTCTCAGGCTCCTTTTCCAGTCCTTGGTATCCTACAAACTACCCCACCAATGTGGAGTGTGTCTGGGTGATACAAGTGGCTGAGAAGTTCCACGTAGAACTGACGATCCCCAGCCTGAAGTAAGCAGCTTTACCTTTCTCTATTCAAATGCCAGATTAGATTTGAATCCATGCTTTCCTGAAAGAGGTGACCTTTCTTTGTGTCTGTTCAGAATGCTATAACAAAAATGTCATAAACTGGAAAGCTTCACAAACAGTAGAAATTTCTTCCTCACAGTTCTGGAGGTTGGGGAGTCTGATTGAGATCATTACACTAACAGATTTGGTATCCGGGGAGGGACCGTTTCCTCATAGATGGCTGTCCTTTCACTATAATCTCACATGGGTGAAGGGGCAAGGGAGCTTTCTCAGGCCTTTCTAGAAGGGCACTGATCCCATTCACAAAGGCTCTGCCCTCATGACCTAATCACTTCCCGAAGACCCCGCCTCCTAATACCATCACATGAGGGGTTAGGTTTCAATTTTTCAGGGAAACAAGCATTCAGCATATAGCACCATGTGACAAATCCTCTTACATATTAGGTAAAAATTGGTCTGGTCATCTGAGTTTAGGAGAGTCTTTTAATCATTGAGCTCAACTTCCTATCCCACGAATATCCCACGAGCATCCCTGACACCAAGCCAT